TATTCTATTCAGGCCAGGCTGGCTTGCTGGAAAAGCCAACTTTTTAGGGCACGTCGGAAGGACCGGAGGCTGGGGATTATGCGAAGCTCCGGGGGCAGCTCATTCCAGAGGGAAGGCGCTACCACAGAGAAGGCTCTCCCCCTGGGGGTCGCTACCTGACACCGTCTGGCCGATGGCACCCTGAGGAGGCCAATTCTGTGGGATCGCACTGGATGGTGGGATGCGACTGGAGGCAGTAGGTGGTCGTGCAGGTATCCTGGGCCTAAGCCATGGAGCGCTTTAAAGGTCATAATTAATACCTTGAATCACACCTGGAAGACAACCGGCAACCAATTATACCAATCTTATAAGAATGGTATCTTTATTCATATAAGGGTACAGTACAACTTAGTAATAAACATGAAATAAATTATGGTATTAGAACAATCACTTTCTAATTCCTTGGCTTCTTCTCATTGCAGATTGTCTCTTCAGAGTATGTCCCATGAACCGCTATTCTGCTCAAAAGCAATACTGGAAAGCCAAGCAAACAAAGCAGGACAAGGACAAAATAGCTGATGTAGTACTATTGCAGAAACTTCAGGTATGATAGGCTCCCAAACCATCTTCTAATAGTCATGTTTATTTTGATCAAACAAATGGTTCTTCTCCTTCGTCTTTGCTAAAGTGTGCTTCCCTGAACTGGGCACCATGTTTTAGGCACAATCTGACCAACACAGAACAAGAGACAGGACAATGTACTACTATTGATATAGCCTAGAATTGCATTTGCTTATTTGCCATTTCCACTGTGATTACCTTGTGATCCACAAAGACATTAAGGTCCTTTTTTCATGTATTGCAGTCCATTTCTCTTACCCAAATAATGGATTTTACCTCTACTCTTGTTGACCTATATTTTGATGGCTTCTCCTGTTATTCCACTTGGTCAAGATCATTCTGAATCATAATACCTTATTTTTCTACTATGTGTTGTCTATACATTTTATGATCCTATTTTACCAATATATTGAACAGAAGCATTAAAATTGCACTCAGTGGCCTGCTATTCAGAACTTTCCTTGCTTGAGTTGGAGACATTCATGTGTGCTTATTTCATATAAATGGTCAACCATTTAGTCATTATCAGTAGTTCAGATTTTGCTGTCTGATGTAGTAGAATATTAAAGGAGACTTTTTAAAATATTTTATTGAAGTAAAGCTACACCTTGTCCGGCACAAGGCCAGGTAATTTTTTTTAAATCACTTGGTTTGGCATTATTCTTTCTTGATAGCCCAATGCTGGTTCCAGTCAAGCAATACATTCTTTTTATATACCTATAAATTGATTACTTAATAATCTTTTCTCTGAATCTTGCCTTGCTTCTTTGTCAAGTTGTCAGGTCTGTAGTTATTTGGGTCTTCTTTCTACCACTTTTTGTACAGAGGAACAGTAATTACCCTTCTCTAGTCCTCTAGAACTGTGCTTAATCCTTGTGCTTTCTCAAATTTCAGAACAAGAGTATCTGAAATGATATCTACAAGTTCTTGAAGATTTAAAGTTGGTCATAATAGCTAAAGCCTACCTAACCATCTTTTTATTTCCTTGAGGTTGCCAGTCTCTCAAAGAGCAATTGTTCTGCTTAGGTCCCCTTGAAGACAGTTTCCTTTTCAGAAAAGATAAATGCAAGATAGGAAATATGGAGTTTTCCCCTGTCGTCTGTTACTATACCACTATCTTCTAACGGGCGGGCCCAATCATTCATTTTTCTTCCAACCATTCATTTTTCTTCCTTTTACTATTGACATAGCGAAAAAAGCTCTTTTTTCCTTTTCTTTTGTGAGCTCCCTTGTGCGCCTAAATTTATTTATGCTTTAGTCTTTCTAATCTAGCTATTTGCTGCTAAATATTTGTTGGTATGCAACATTGGTGGTTAGAAGCATCCTGTATCTCTTGTATGTGCATCTTTTAAGTTTCAGTTAAATGGAAAGTTCCTTATGCATTCACAGTGGTTTGCTAAATTGCCCCGAGTCTTACTCTAGCAAGATTAAAGTGGAGTACCCTACTAGGGTAAATTCAAAGATTCTTTGGTTTTAAGAGTGGAAAATAGTGAATACATAAGCTTCACTCTGTTGGAACACCTCCACAATTTCCTGTAGAGTGCTGAGAGGAGCCTCTGCGGCAGTGAAAGATTTCTAGCCAGCTATTGTTGGGAGAGACCTCTGTACAGAAACTTCATCTGATTTTTATAAGTGATGAAGGAGGCTAACAGGAAAGGTTAGAGAGAAAGAGTGGAGAAGGCTCAAGGTGAAATAAAATGTTTGATCAAGGCAAATCATATCTCCTCTTTGTCCCAGTGAAGAAAATTATGTCACCTCCATGATTAGAAGCAAAGCAAATCTAAGCCAACTCCCCAAGCACAGGCTTCTTATCTAGGGCAATCTTTCCCAACCAATCATGGTCAGGAGCTTTGGAATGCAGCTCCACATATCTGCAAGGTTGGTGAGGATTGATTTATGATTGTTTGCTCTACTCTTCCTGTGTCTTTCACACATAAACATTTAGTCGGTGGAGTTTTTCCTCTGTGTGAAGTGGAAGAGAGTGTTCTATTTCAATGTGTTAGTTTGCTTTTAAGGCACTGGATTGGAAAGAAGGAGGCGGAGGAAAATCTTTAGTGTATAATGCCACATTTCCTGTTATATATTCTTGACTGAATGAACGCGAACTAAAAGTACACAAATTCATTTCCAGAGCCACAGGGGTTCTTTTTAGAAACCAAGGCTTTCTAATAGGCGAAACCTGGCTCAAAAATGGTAAATGTGAGAAGGACCTTGGAGTTTTAGTGGACGATCTCTTAAACATGAGTCAGCATTGTGCGACGGCAGCCAAAACAGCTAATACAATCCTTGGTTGTATAAACAGAGACATAGAATCAAAATCATATGAAGTATTAGTATCACTTTATAAAGCCTTAGTAAGACCACACCTGGAATACTGCATTCAGTTTTGGTCATCAAATTACAAAAAAGATGTTGAGACTTTGGAAAAAGTGCAGAGAAGAGCAACTAAGATGATTAAAAGGCTGCAGACAAAAACATATGAAGAACAGTTGCAGGATTTGGGTTTGGCTATTCTAGGGAAAAGAAGGACTAGGGGGAACATGATAGCAGTGTTCCAGTATTTGAGAGGCTGCCACAAAGAGGAGGGGGTCAACTTATTTTCCAAAGCACCAGAGGCCGGGACAAGAAACAGTGGATGAAAACTAAGGAGAGAAGCAACCTGGAATTAAGGAGAAACTTCCTAATAGTGAGGATAAATAACCACTGCTTTCAATCATTGTAGGTGCTCCATCACTGGAGGTTTTTAAGAAGGGACTGGACAATCACTTGTCTGAAATGGTATAGGACCATGATGGCGAACCTATGGCATGCGTGCTGGAAGTGGCATGCAGAGCCATCTCTCCGGGCATGCCAGCCATCATCCATTGCTTTTCTTGATTCTGGTGCATATGTCTTTGCATGCATGGGAGTGCCAGAAACCAGAAGATCAGTTCCCTGGCGCACATGCTTGAAACCAGAAGCTCAATGTGCGCCGGGGAACTTCTCTTCTGGTTTCTGAAGTTCCTGCGTGTGCCAGTGGTGGGTTCCGAATCCCATTCCAACTGGTACAGTTGGAACGGGCCCGGTGTCGCCCATACGGATGCATGCAGAACACGCGTGCGGCATGTGCATGTGTCATACCTGCCAGCGATACCTCTGCAAGCCTCCGTGATGCTCCAGCTGCTCGGCGGAAGCGCCAAAGGCTTTAAAGGACAGGTAAGGAGCTCAGGAGGGCGGGTGGGCCCTCCGGGGCACCATACTGGAACAGTACCTGGTGCTCCGGGCAGGATCTGGTACCAGCACTGGTATAGGATCCCCTGCTTGAGCAGGGGGCTGGACTAGAAGACCTCTAAGGTCCCTTCCAGCACTAATCTGATTCAAAATAACTAATTTATGCTTGTGGAATGAATGCTGTCTTGACTAAGCAAATGCTTGCATTTCCTATCTTTGTTCAATAGTTTATAGTAAAATTCACTTGCCTCTCTTTTTTCTGTATTTTTGTCAGAGCACCTTTTGCAATGCAGGTAATATATTAATTAATATATTCAATATAACAAAAACACCAATTGCATTGAAAGGGCACACATTAATATGCAAATATTGGAAATATAATGATAATTATTTCCTTGGGAAGGAAAAACTATTAAGGTCATAATGTAAAGTGTCTTTTCTTACTTAACCTATTGTATTTAGCACATGCATATGCCATCATGTGCTTCATCATAAGAAAGAGAAAAAATGCATATCCAACAAAAAAAAAATCTGACAGAAAAATTGTAACTATGCCTTAGTATGGAACTGGAATTTCACAGGAGCATTTGACGAAGCATCAGAAAACATTTTTCTCCCTTTTCAAATTAGGCTGACTACTGCTTTTCAATCAGAGGAAATAAATTTCCAAAAATAAATAACGGAAAATAGAATAAAACAAATGAATAAAAGAATGGAAAAACTAAAGTATGTCGAAACCTTTGAGACTGGAACCATCAGAGGTAGTCTTAAAATGTTGACTAGTGCATATTTACTCAGAAATAACTCTCACTGGTTTCAATTGGACGTATCTCTAGACAATTTGATCTCTAGACTCCCCAAATTTGTTGACACGAAGATGAACATTTTTGAAAGGTCTTGGGTTAAGGAAGGCATCTGAATTTCATTTTGGTGCTATGGATGAAGTAGTTGACCAACCATACATTATCAAGCATCATAGGGACATGTTTGCTAAGTTCCATTGGCATTATCACAGAATTGGTCTCTTGACAACTATTCTACTTTGTGCTTTCGAATGCTAAGAAAAGGACCCTTTTCCTGAGCTTCTGTTATGAGTTCATCACAGGTTTTTCTTTTCCATTTTGCACGTGCTCCATGTAATACCCTACCCGGGTCTTTTCTGCCCTGGAAGACAAGTAATACATTCTGGTTTAGGAATGCTTTGAGGACAAGATGAGAAACAGACCGAGTTTGGTTATATTGAATTCTTGGCTTCCCTGCTTTATTGTTCACTAATTGTTCCTATAATTAGTGAAATGTCTACAGTAAATACCACTTGACATGCATTTAATGTGCTTCTACTAGTAATGCTGAGTGAAAAGCTGCAGGCCCATCCCTAGGTAATGGACATCTATTTATTTTAGATTTCTGGTTTCTGAGATTTCATGAAACATTTTCATGAGCTAGACACTTGCAAGCAAAAGGAAAATGAAGTATAAGAAATACTGAATTTAATCTGTGTTTATTTTTAATTGTATTTATGAACCACAGGAAACGAAACCCTTAAAAATAAAATTAGGCTGAACTATAAAAAAGAGTAAACATTAGGCCACTCCTGAGATATTAGTTGTGTTTCTGATCCTTTACTGTTGTGTACTAAGGTCCGTTTCACTATCTGCTCCTTCCCATACATCCTGTTCTCTCTCCAAGCCTTATAACCTCAGGGTTTATTTGCTTATTTTTCTTACCATTCCTTTTGCCGCCCTTATTTCTCTGAAACGAATTTCTGTCCCA